CTTGATTCATATCAGGGCAGCTCTGTGGGAACTTGTGTCAGTCACGATTTCTCACTGAGTTCACCTAAGTGATATAAGGCAATTGGAGAGCCAAATAAGAGCATATGCACAATGATGAAACACCAGTGATTAGTATTGTTAATTTGATACAACTTTTCTGTGCGGAGGAGGCATAAATGTCTCCTATCCCTATGATCTCTGAATATCCCAAAGCAACATTCAATTTGCCAGAAACTTAGAGGGGCGCATTTACACATGCATCATAGTTACTGCGCATTAAGTTTACTACCTGTAATAATAAGTATTGCCGCTATGCACAGTCACGCTACTGTGCAGTAAGTGCCGGTGCACGCTTTTTACATGACATTAATGTGCAGTAGACTAATCTACGGCTCGGCTTCTGCCGGGACACACTAACATGCAGTACAATTAGTCTGCTGTGCATTTAGTGTCTGGTGTAGATGTACCCACTGTCCATTAAATTCACTGCCTCAAAACGTCATGAAGGCCTAGTTAATTATTGCAAATTTAAAGCTCTGAGAACTGGGGGACACAGTCAAGGATTAGCTCAGCCAAGCCACCCGTCAGCTCTCCCAGACCAGGACCTGGCAGCGAGTCAGTCAATGATATCAGACTGTGTAGACACAAGGAAGGAGTGAATGCGCTATTGTTTAAATCCAGCAATTGCGCCCACGCCTTCCAGCTGTTAGGTGCGGCCACCTTGAAGGGTGGGGGATTTGCTGGAGCGGGGTGGAAGAAATGTCACTGCAACGAGGGGAATGATGGAGCGCGGGGCTGCCCGGCACCGTGGGTCTTTGTTGCGGCCTGGTCTCAGGGACAGAGAAAGCAAAGGCAAGGTGGTGCCTGGCAGGTCTGTGGGGGCACGCAACGTGGGTTCGCCCCAGCAAAGAGACTCACATGCTTGATCCTTGGAGCATCCCAGGAAGGGCCGAACCCAGAGGCATTCGTGCAAGAGGGACAGCGCTGGTGCCAGGGCAGCTTGCTCCTCACCTCGCATTGCCTCTTCCGTGGGGGCTACACATGTCACCAATGCAGATTTATCCTGGGTGCACCCACAAGTAGTGAAGTGAAGGAGCCACCGAGCTGCATCCCGCTGCAGGGAGGTCTCAGCCCTGGACACCGGTGCCCCCCCACCTTGTCAACCCCTGCAAACCCCCCGGGGTGGGAAGGGCAGGGAGCCGACATGCCGTGCAACGCCCTGCACCGCCGCGCCCCGCCAGCAGGGCGGCGACGGTCCTCCCGAGGAGCAGCCGCGGGGCCCCTCTTGGCGACCACATCGTCGAAACGGAAGTGCAGCCAACCCGGAAGCGGGCGC